TGTTGAATTGTAAATAGGCTACAATAAGCCCATGACACTCCTGATAACACTCCCGTTTTGTATGAATGGAGATACAACGTTACCAGATCGTCTATTCATCAAGATGCACACACCCAATCCAAAACTACAAAACTTAAACCCGGCTGCACTCTGCGCACGCGCAAAGCGAGAAGAAGGTTTGATAACATTTATTTGTGTACTATTGTGTAACTTAATTAAAGTCATAAAAACACTCATTTGCTTCTTTCACATCAATATCTAATTCTGTTTGAAATATATGTTGCTATGGTAACAGTGATTGTTACTAATGAAAAGGACAGTAAAACACTCAAGCACCTGCTGTCTATTCATGGGTACCAAAAAGTAGAATCTGTGGACCTGTCTGCACCTCTTTTACTGTGTGTTTGCTCTTCTGTCTTAGAAACAACAGAGTTCTCCTCCATGTGTGTCACTGTGCTCAAATGTCTGCACCAGTTGTTGATGCACACTGAGGCTTTTCAGGATAGAAGAAAGACAAGACTGCAGAAATAATAATATTTGTGAAAAACTGAATTTACTCAAGATGATTTATTTTCTTTATTTGGACCTTTTTTTTGTTCAAGGTCAAAATATCATAAAATCCCAATACTTATAGCAGTAATAGACCTACTCACAGAAAAAATACTGAGCATTAGTCTACCTCAAATGCAAAAATCTTTAATTATTTGATAATATAATATATGGAAAGAGGAGCTAAAGTGATAAGAGAGTTAATGTTACACAGTGAGTGATATTGGGTATAATTGAAGCTAATCATTTGTCTGAGGGTTCTCTTTTAAAGGAATTAATTAAACACCCCTAAATAAGTTACATCTGAGCCCTTTTGGATCAAATGTATGTCAGGGTTAAAAAATACTCCTTCAAAGCTGATTTTAGAAAAAGTGGCGCGCCCCATGGAGGCTAAGGTCCTCCAAGTGGGCGGCCCAGGATGAAATCCAACCTGTGGCTCCTTTCCCACATGTCATTCCCTAATCTCTCTCTCCCTGATTTCCAACTCTATCCACTGTCCTATCTCTCCATCAAAGGCAGAAAAAACCCCAAAATAAATATATATACATAAAAAAAAGAAGCATAAGTAAGTAAAAGAAAATAATTGAAGTTAAATGCTGAATTTCATGAACCAGCTAAATGGAACTTATTTTGTGTAGCAGTTAATAAACTGCACTATGAGTCAGAGCTTATTGATTTGAGAGGAAAAGAAAGAGCGATAGAGAGAGAGAGGGAGAGAAAGATAGAAATCCAGCTCCTAAAGAGGACAAGAACTCAAACACTCTGGAGCCTGGCCTGACAGTGGGGACCTTTGGGGGTCCCCAACTGGCATGACGGTGCCAGTAGAGATCCACCAGCACCTGGCTCTCGGCGAGCTCCACATTTCCTCTTTGGAAGTGGTACTCTGACTGTTCACACGGGTCCTATTCATAACCTCGGTTTGAGAGTTGTATGACGTATTCAATGACGTCATTAAAGGAACAGCGCGGATCGAACGCGCTGTTGTCTTCATGTGTTCCCATGGTTACTAAGCTTGAAGATTCTAAATAAACAAAAACAATTAAATTTCAACCCTGCTGTGCCCGCGACCAAGGGCTGAGCACGACTGCACTCTGCGCAAGCGCAAAGGCGAGAAGAGTAGACAGCTGGATGAATACTTTCTGAGTCGTCAGTGTAAGCCTGTATTGATTTGGAGGAGTGTATATCGCACTTTAAGTCATTAAAAACAAGCGTTTTGTCAAAGTCAACTTCTTTTACAAATGTCACTTCAATCTATCATTCAGAACCTTTATGTTTGCAATAGGTCTACATGTTGCTATGGTAACAGCAGGCCTAATTGTTGCTAATGCAAAGGATCCATTACAATTTCACAAAACACAGCGTGATAAATTGCGATGTTATTTGTATATAAGATAATTTTTTTTAATTAAGTATAAAGTGTGTTTCTATTGACTTAGGTCTACTTGATTCACACAACCCTATAGATAGATAGATAGATAGATAGATAGAGAGATAGAGAGATAGAGAGATAGATAGATAGATAGATAGATAGATAGATAGATAGATAGAGAGATAGAGAGATAGAGAGATAGATAGATAGATAGATAGATAGATAGATACTTTATTGATCCAGAGGGGAATTCAAAGCATCCAGTAGCAGGTTACAAAGACATGACATGAAACATTTGTTACAAATTAAACTACAAAACTGACGCCCCCCCTCACATACATATATATTAAAAAAAGATTTAAAGAATACCCCTAGATGAATCAAACTTAAAACTGTGCAATTAAAATAGACTTATACAAGAAATGTACATAACCCATGCAGGGATAAAAAATATATGTGCAATTTAAAGTAAGAACCTAAAAACAGTTGAGGAAAAAAATCTGTAATTAGACCTGAATTAAAAATAATAAAAATAATAATAATAATTTAAAAAAAAATACAAATAAAAAATAAATAATTATAAATGATAATAATAATAATATATATATTTTTAAATACAAATAAAAAATGATAATAATAATAATAATAATAATAAAAAAAAATACAAATACAATTTTTTATAAAATGATAATAATAATAATAATACAAAACAATAATAATAATAATAATTTAAAAAAATAGGTGTTGACCTTCTTAAGGTGTGTTGTTCATGTATGTACAGCAAAGTTTAAAAAGCAGATAGTGCAAAATGATCAAAAACAGACATTAAATAACAGGCAGTGCAAACATTAAATTAAAGGTGCTGTTTAAGTAAATGAGGTGATCATTAAAGAGATGCCATGTTGTCACAGGTAATGCTGCAGTGTAGATATCAGTCGATAGTATTAGTGGGACACTTGAACAGAGGCTGTGTTGCATGAGAAGCAGCTCTGTGTGTGTGTGTGTGTGTGTGTGTGTGTGTGTGTGTGTGTGTGTGTTGCAGCTGCAGCACTGCTCTTCCTCGCGGGCTGGTCACGTGCTCCTGTGTGTTGACTGTGGGGGCAAAATAAAAAAAGAATCTCAGCAGATCTGCAGCAGAGAGGCTAAAACAGAGCTAACTGTTCTCCGGAATACAAAAACATCCTCAGACCGAGGCGTGATAAGAACAAACAGACAGACTCCAGTATGAGTTAACGTGCAGGGAGCCCGCGTGCGTTCAGGTAGGATTTACTTCACCTGCATGTGTCGGTGATGCTGCACAGAGCTGCTGCTAATGCTAACACACACACACAGCTATCACACAGGGCTACGCATTTAAATAACCAATAGTTTACATTATCATGTGAAGCTAAATCGATGTTTTGTGCATGTTCAGGGAAATGTTGTTTGTTTAGCAAAATAATTATCTTGCAAATGGTTCAGTTGAGATGCTAAAGTGTTAGCTTAGCAGGCTGCAGAGATTCAGAGTCAGGCCGGTGCTGATGCTGAGCTCAATGCTAACCAGGAGCTAACTCAGCTAACGGAGCAATACATATGAGATTATTTTCTGATTCAACAAACAGAATAATGTTTTAGAAATCATAGTTGGGAGTCTGTTTAATAAATCACACATGGTTTGATACCTGTGGATGTGTTAACCTGGTCTGATGTGGCCTGCAGAGAAATCATGATGCTGCTGCTGCTGCTGCTGCTGTCTGAATTGCAATTGAATACCCATTTTAAACACATGAAACCTGGTGTTAAGCAGCCTTTAGGGATTGAGATTTAAGATTAGCTCCACACTACATGTGGCCTGATGTGATCCGGTCAAGATTAACCCTCCTCCTCCTCAGCTCTGTGAAAAACAATCAAAGGTTTTACACATTTTAAATCTGTTGTTTGTGGGAGCCTTCCTGTTTGATGACACTGCAGTAAGTCTGGTCTGGAGGGACAAAGATTAGTAAAATTTATATTTTTTTTAGTCCTGAAAAATTAAACCATGGGTCCAGAATCTAAAGGAAAAAAAAACATTGAGGGGATTTTTTTTTTTGCAGCCCGTGACTTCAAATGAAGAATCAGAAGATTTTGGAGGCCTTGATTCAGATCGGCACATTATCTTATTTTTCTTTTTCATGTTAACAAGGGCTGAACAATATTCCTAAAATAGAAAATGTTCAGTAACATGTATGTTGTTGTTTTTTTTTTTTAAATCTACAGTTTTTACTATTTTCCAAATTTTTTTGTAAACTATGAAAAAAAACGTATGCAAAGTTTTTGTAACCATTTAATGACCTGAGCTGAATGCAGAAAGCTTTAAACACGTTACAGGTTTGACTCTGAGAAAAAAAAACAAATAAAGTAGAACGAAGAAATCAAAATATTTGATCTCCTTTTATTGAAGGGTTTCTTAAGCGAGCCTTTTGATCGTGATCTACAAAGCCGTACTATTTTTTCGACTATATTCTAAAAGACAAAACCTGTGGCCCGCGAGCGATTCTATCGCGACAATTTTGGCCCGCAAGAAAAAAAGTTTGGACACCCCTGCTGTAGATCATTGGTTCCAAACCTGAGGTCAAGGGCCAAAAATGTCAGGGGGGGGGGGGCACAAGGCTTTATCGGCTCTGAGGTCGTAAAAGTTAGATTTTCATGATGAAACACTTACTGGATAGTTTATTCAAAGGTCTTCTGGTAAGAATGATTGTGTTCTGTTATTGTAACTGTATGTGGGATGGTCTCATCGTTATGTGTTGTCTATGCTTCTGCTTTGTTAACTAGAGCCTGACTGGCACACATCGCCGCTGCTCGAAGGAGACCAGTGTTACACAACATTTTGTCTCCCTTCTGAAAGTGACACATCCTGCAATCAGGGTCTTAAACTCATTCTCTCATTTCCCCCCACTGTGTGGAGTCATTTAAAGTTTTTCCAGCTTGAGGTTAAAATTTCACTGAGTGGTTTCTGTACAACAGCATCCGATCTAAACTCATCTCGAGGTGAAGTTTGATGTGTGTTTGTGTGTGTTTCAGGAGGATCAGGTGTGTGTGTGTGTGACACAGCAGCAGCAGGATGCCCATCCCTCCCCCTCCTCCCCACCTCCAGGAGGACCCCACCTCCCCCCACCTTCAGCCAGGTAACACCGCACACACAGTCCCCTTCATTATTATCTTCCCTCATCATCATCCCCGTGTCCTCTTGGGTCGGGTCACATGACGATGAAGAGCTGCAGGGTAAACGGTGTCACTTTGAGTTTGGTGATCCTCGGACTCTTCTGCACATACATTCTTACTGTTTCCTCCGCAGGAAAATGTCGTCATGGGTACGAGCTGAAACATGTAATTATTGTCCAACCATGCACGTTCTGATTGAAATTAAATTCTCTCCACTGAAGAACAAACATTCCTTCCCCACGTTTTTGTCAGATATTGAAATCCAAACTACCTGGTACTTAATAGAAGCTTGATCCAAAGTCATCTGGACTATATATCCATATATGTATGCAGAATGCACGTAATCGTTTGTTATTCTGCATGTTTACACTCGGCTCAGTTGGATAATGTAGACTGAAATATAAATTCAGTTTGGTTAAATCACCATCCCTACACGCACAGCCTCGTGGACTTTGAGGCACGTTCCCGGTAAGTGTGTGAGTGCTTTGTGCTGTCCTGCTGTGAAATCGTCAGGTGTGTGACTTACTTTACAAATGATAGACGTAATGAATAAAAAAAAAAAAAAAAACTCGAGATGAGAATTCTTTCCTTTTTGTGGATCAAGTTGCATTTGTAGATTTTTACATTTTAGCGTTTGTTATCCTGGAACATTTTGTGACTTTAGTTAACTCATTTTTTGAATGCCTTTTCTTCCCTGTTGAAACATGTAAGTTTGGATTTCTGTCACATTATCTGATGGTGTAACTACCCCTCTCACCCCAGGCCAACACCAGCCCCCCCAAACTGAGCAAAGAGGAGACTAAAGGCCGCGGCGCTCTGCTGTCTGACATCTGTAACGGCACCCGGCTAAAGAAGGTGGCGGTGGTGAACGACCGCAGCGCTCCCATGCTCGACAGTAAGAGCCAAACACCAAAGAGCCAAACACCCCCCCACAGACCACCCATACATTCGTTTATACCAATACCTACACCAGCAGCAGAGCCAGCCCAGACAACAGGGGGCGCCGTCCGAGGAGCAGCAGAGGACCTCTGCTTTTTCGCTAGAGAGTAAGACCAAAAAGCTACTGTCACGTCAGAGGAAGCCTGCAGGGGGCAGCAGGGTCACAGCCAGCCGCCATCTTTCTGACCACAAACCTCACATATAGAGACCGAACAAACAAAGAACTATTTTAAAAAGGAACAAGTCCAAGATTTCATTTCTTAAGTTGAAATAATTCACAGACTTGTTGTGATTACTGACAGTCGTTTCACAGGCGTTTGCTGATGTGAGCATCTTTAAGATGAGGACTCATCAACTCCCAATCGCTGGCTTAAGGGAAAAAAAAATCCACTTTAAAATGAGGGGAACAATTGAGTTTTTCTGCAGACACATCACACAAACACACTCACTGTTTGTTCATGTTTTTCTGTTTTTTGTCCCACTTTTTTTCCGTTCCACTCTTATCAGTACGGTTTCTGTCACAACTTCCACTTTTAAAAAAAAAATAATGATTTCACTCTGCTTTAACTTCTCTCTCCTTCTTCGCTGAGCCTGTTTGAAGTGGAGCTGATACTGGTTTGCATACTTACACGTCTGGGATGAAGTATATATATTTTTTTGTTTAGGCAGTGACCTCGCTCACACAGCGACACAAGAATCCTGTCGATAGACGGGTTAAAAGTCTCAACTTGTTTCTTGACGGGCAGTGACGGAGCGGCTGGTTCGATCCTGCAGCGTCCTGCAGAGCACCTGCTGGACTCATAATGTTGCAGCTGCATCACTTCTTTGGTTTAAAGCGTCTGCTGGCCAGTTGAATGTTACACATTCTTACATGTCAGAGCTGTTTCTGCTTTCACATGTTTCATAAACACTGAGGCAGAATATTTAGTCAGTCAACTGATTTGATAGATTGTGTTATCTGCCCATTTAGAGATGATTTATAAATTAACTGTTCAAAGAATTTAGAAAATTCATTCATTTTTTAAAAGCAGAATAAGGAAAATGATCATGGCCACAGCTTTGGTTTTGGTACCAAATGTGAACTTTGGTTTTGGCTTCATAGACCTTTATAAGAAGTGGGCGTAGCCATCATGACATCACTCATTGGTTTGTTGACCACAGCCTGGAGTTCAACATTTTGGCCATCACCATGTACTGTTTGTTCTTCGGAGTCAGCCTTATTTGAAATGAGACCGTTTCTAAACATTGCCATGCCATTATCCTGGTAGCCAAGTCACTCGTCAGCCACAAGTTGCCCTGCCTGAAATCCTCCCCTTCATGATGTCTGGAAGAAAACTAGAGATTAGTGCAGTGAACTCATGAGGAGAAAAGTTTACTGTGGTTTTGAAGCGGCTGAGAAGTGGGATCATTTTCTCAGACTTCTACACAATCAGGTTTCCTTTTGAAAACCAGTGGAGTCGCCCCCTGCTGGACATTACAAAGAATGCAGGTTGAAAGCGCTTCACAATCATTTTAATAACCAGTGGCTACGTCCACTTCTTATAAACAGTCTTTCCTCTAAGATGAATCTGGTTCAGTTTAAAGTTGCACAAAATAAGAGAACATTACATGATTTCAGTATAGTCCTTGTTATAAATCAAATTACCCAAAATTGTAGTTTGTATCCTGATTTAACTTCTCTCTAAAAATGAGCTAATTTATTTTTAATGAGTCTAAAAAACACCAAATCATGTAAAATATTATTTAAAAAAAAAAATGAAAAGACTCCTTCGCCTGTGAAACAAAACCAGATTGCTGCCACCAACTGTACAAACCTGTGTTGAGGTAGTTGGTGGAAGGATACTCTGGTTGTGAACAAGAAGTAGTTCCTCCTACGGCTGAGGCCTGTCTCACAGCTGAGCCTTCAGCAATGTGTGCAAGCATGCTAGCTTGTTAGCTGTTAACTAGCATTGAGTTGCTGTGCCTGGCTGTAACGTGACTGCGCTGAGCGAGCTATGGTTTTATGGTTTCTCTGCTTCTTCTTCTTCAAGCTAACCTGCTTCCTTAATACGATTATACAAACTGTGTATTACCTGAGCTGCAGTAGAACCACGCCTGTATGTGGAGCAGGCTTGTTTTAGTGACAGTCCGCCCAGCTCACCTGCTTCCTGTTCACCTTCAGTGGAGGAGTGTAACACCTGACTGGGTAGCAGACGTCTTTGATGTTAACAATAACAGCATGTGGCTACGTAGAGCTGCACGAAACATCAGACAAACTTGGTTTATTTCAACTCTGATCTCGGTCTTCTGTCACCTGTTGTGATTTTTGCACCCTGAATAAAATGGATCGGCTGATTGGAAGAAAACTTTTCTCCACCTGAGATGTGTGAGCTCATGTCACAGAGCAGTGAGCTCTCGGTTTATGTTGGAATAAACCACTTTTGTCCGTTTAAACGCTCACACACAGGTGTTTTCAATCACTCTGATTGATTAGACCTCGCTCTGGAGAAGGTCTAATCAGGGATAACAAGTGAACTCACCTGTGAAGGTGAACTGCAGGGGCTTGATTTCATTCCCCGTTATGCACTGCGTAATGTTCAGACACAGCGTTGAGTGGATTAAGAGTACTTTACCGGATGATTGAACATGAATGAACAACTTTTCAAAGTTTAAATTCTCATAAAGAGAACAGCTTTTAGTAGATTTGCGCTGATGATGCAACTTTTAAAATTCCGCTCACAGTCTGTCTGAACATGTTGAATCTATTTAAAACAAGCAAAATGTTGTTAGGTGGAGTCATGATGTTGCCTCATAGTTTTTTTTTTTGTGATGTCATAGATTATAATTTGATGTTTTTTTTCGACTGTTTGTCTGTCACTCATGTTGTGCTGTCGGTGATGTCATCGGAGAGCGTCGGGGGGAGCGTAAACACGTCATTTAATTTTACCTCTCACTTCACTTCATCTTAACTTCATCTCACTTCAGTGTTTTGACTTACCTGACCTAACCTGCAACCCCGCCTCACCTCCACACATCTCCACTCATTCATGCAGTCTGTGATGTCATCGTAGTGTCATCGTAGAGTCGGTGTAGTGTAGTGACCTCGTACACTCGGGAGGCAGAGCGCTCATATACCTGTCCGATGGTTGTGGTTCTCAGAGCCCAAAGGAGGCGGAGCAGCGACAGGGGGAGCCAATGGCAGCGCAGCCGGAAGTCCTTCAGGTTCTGTTCCACCGATTGGAGGACTGTTCACAGGTGGCGTCCCCAAACTGAGACCGGTTGGCGGTAAGGCGTTACACTGATTGATCATGTTGTTATTATTTGGTGTATTTTTCTGAATGAGGAGTTTCTTTGGATGTTCGATGTCCTCCATGTTTTTTCGCAGACGGTTCCTCGGGACGTTCTCCCTCCACTCGTGCCGCAGCACCCCCGCCCGCCCAGCCATCGCCACGATGACGCAGACAGTCCTTCCCCTCAGGCGTTGTCACCCATGGAGACGAGTCGTACCCAGCGGCCCTCTCTGCCCAACCTGACCTCCTCTCCCTCACCCTCCACCCCCTCCTCTGCAGCTTCCTCCCCCTCCACCAGCATGAAGCACTCCTCCTCCGCCCCCCCTCCCCCTCCTCCTGTCTGTCGCCGTGGAAACGCCCCCTCTCCTCCCTCCTCTTCCTCTGCTTACAACAGAGAGAAGCCCCTCCCCCCAACCCCTAACAACACTCCTCCCCCTCCCGTCAAAACCTCCCCCTTCTCCAGGCAACAGCAGACGTCCGCCCACCTCAGGTGGAAACCCCGGCGCCTCCTCCACCTCCTCAACTCTGGCTCCACCCCCTCCACCTTACCGCATCAGTAATGGCCCCACATGTGGAAGTGGCGAGGCCGCGCCCGAGCTGCCACAGCGTCACAACTCGCTCGGCAACAAGAGGACTGCCCCCTCACCTGGAGGCCACACCCCCACCAGAGGCCCCGCCCCTCCACCTCCTCCTGCTTCCCCCACCCCTTCTCAACAGGGCGCCAACAGGCCACCACCCCCCATCCGAGACGTTCCAGGTAGAGGGGCAGGTGAGGCCTCAGCGTGTTTTCTGAACAGATTAATGAAATGTTTTCTAGTGTTGATAACTTTATCGATCCTCTCATTGATCACTTCCTTCATCTCTGTCCTCAGCCCCTCCTGTTCCCGCTCAGCCTTCTGCGTCGAGGGCGGGAGGCAGAGAAGCCCCGCTCCCCCCTCCTTACAGGACACACGGTAGCCCCTCCCTCTCCTCTGACCCCCCTGTCAGAGGGAAACCTCCTCCCCCGCCAACCCGCACCCCGGCTGCTCCTCCCCCGCCTCCCCCTCCTATCCGCAACGGACACTCCTCCTCTACCACCTCCTCTTCCATCCCTCGTTCATTTGTCGGTGAGTCACGTCTCTGATCCAGATGGAAACAGCTCAGTGTCGGTGAAACCCCGGAGTTTTACTTTTAATCCAAACACTCACTTTACAACATTTTATGAAACACTGACAGTATTCACACGATATCTCCACCAGGCTCTTGTACTGTTGTGAAAAGATGAAACTACAAATGCAACAAGTATCGATCTTTCTGATTCTGATGTCCTGCATCAATTTGATAGGAGATAAATTATTAAGAAAACGTGCATGAGCATGGCCTCCAGAATATCAAAATGTATTGTCTTGACATTGAGATGATATCAGAAAGTATAGAAATATATATATATATATATATATATTTTTGTAGTAGATAGGGGTGTAAAGGTACACGTACTCGGACCGGACCGTTTCGGTAAAGGGCCTTCGGTCGCTCCGGTAGTTCTGCGATGAAACTACACTGTCCCAGATGTGATTATGTTTATTATGTGCTCAAAGGGCATTCAAAAAACTGTTGCCTTCATAAACTAAAAGGTGGAAGTGTAATTAAAAAGAAATATTTTTACATATAGACTATATTACTTCATTTCATTCTAAAATATTTTATTTCATTCATATCTTTTATTGGAGACTCTTTTGGTTGAAGGATGCAGCATACGTTTATTTTTAATTTAAAATGTTATTAAAAAGCAACCTGAGCAGGTGTACAAGTCTGAACTTAGCCCAATGTGTAAAAGGGAAATTCTAAGTGATAATAAAGTGTTGCATCAGGTCCCTTTACTGTACCGAACTGAAATGTTTGTGCACCGTTACACCCCAACTAGTAGATGAATATGTGATCATAAAGTGCTGACTACTAATTCTGTCTAAAGCAAATTCTTTCAAATACTCTAATCATTACACTTTGTGGACCAGATGAGTTGGCAGGTAATAGTTCGGCTCTTCCTCAAAGTTTTTTAATGATTCTTGATGTTTCTGCTTTTAGATCAAGCTGTTATTTAAGAATTAAGGTTCTCTCATTGGTTCCCTCCATCAGTCTCTCCTCTTCGTCCTCTCACTTCTCCTTCATCAGTCAGTTTATCAACAGCAGAAAAAGGAAGAAATTAAGAACTGATGAGTCATGTCTCCTTCTTCCGCAGATGATTTCGAGTCCAAGTATTCATTTCATCCTCTGGACGACTTCCCTCCTCCCGACGAGTACCGACACTTCGCCAAGATCTACCCAAGCAAGGCCAACAGAGGTACACACAGAGAACAGTGCTACATCACTACAGTCCTTTAATGAGTCAAAACAAGTTGCCAGATTTCCCTCTGGATTTGGACGATCGAAGCTGTAAATGATAACACTTTGATTTAGCCTCTCTCACACTGTGATGTCTGAAACATTGTAATAGTGAGTTAGTGCTTTAGTTAGAAGGGGGAGGAGCTTAAAATCAATCTTTTGTTTGTTGCAGTGATGAGAGGAGCTCCCCCACTGCCACCTGTCGGCAGGTGAACCATGACAAGGACTACACGGCTGGACCACACACACACACACACACACACACACACACACACACACACACACACACACACACACACACACACACACACACACACACACACACACACACACACACACACACACACGCTCTACCCCGCTTCCTGTTTGATGACATGACGTCCAGCTTTTATCATCACCGTCGCCTTCATCACCACCTCATCTGAGATCATGGCTTATTGCCCCCAGGGAAAGCTCTGATCTGACTGGCTGAGGGGGAGCTCTCACCTGATTGGCCGATGAGACCTCTGATCTGATTGGCCGACGCAGCAGAACCGCGTTAAACTGCTCAGGAAATGATGCAGAGTGTTCAGAGTGATGATGACGAGTTGTTTCCTGCTCTACAAACTTGTTTCAGCTTCTCCTGTAACAGCAGACACATTGGATGATCTCTTTACCTACTTACCCCCGTGAGTTGGAATGACATTGTTGACATCTAACAAAAGCCCCCCCCCCCTGCAGTTTTTATTTTTATTTTTATTTTGCACTTGCACTTTTTGTTGGAAAAAAAACCCAGCTGCTCCACCTGTCGACCACTGTCTGACACATGAAGGAGAACAGTTTGTGGAGCCAAAAGCTGCTTCAGGGACACCTCAGACTGAATGGATATGAACTTAAAATGATAAAGACGGAGTGTGTTGTGGAGCTGCGTTTCCATTATGAACAACAGCAGGTCAATATTTTTGGGGAGAAAGACTTTTCTGAGAGCTTGCCTGGTGTGTAAGCGCTCGTGACAGCTCCTCTGCACATCTACCTACAGTGCTGTCAATCATGGCGTCATACTCCTTTTATAGTATCCCATAACTATTAAAAATGAACATAAATCAGCATGATAAGAACTAACTATAATGACAGCCTGTCTACAAACCCACAAATTATGAGAAAAGTCCATCCTCTCTTGTCTTTTGCCTTCCCTAGTTTCAGAAAATGTGTGCTTAAACAGGCAGTTTGGAGGTTTTCCCTTTGTGACGTCACAAAGGGCAGTAACCCCTCCCCCATGGTGGGTGACACTCCCGCAGCTAGGTGTTTGTTCTGCCGAAAAAGCGAGAAAGCCCAAACTACATCCCCTTCCAGAGAGGGGGCGTGGTCAGACACAGCTCATTTACATATTTAAAGGTACAGACACAGAAACAGTCTGTTCTGAGCAGGGCTGAAATAGAGGGGTTTATAGACATGATCAAATACAGGATCAGAGTGGATTTAGAACAAGGAACTTCACACACATGTTTGTTTTTTTTTAAACTTCTTGAAAAGGAGGATAATACGTGACCTTTAACTAATGTCCCATCTGTTAACATGGAGAAGGCGAGCGTTATTACCTTTACGGGTTCAAGTTAGTAGGGGGAGCCCCAAATGTTTCGGCTTCACTTTCAGGGTATGCTGATGGTGATGTCCATCTTTTTACGCGGTCTCTGGGAGGGAGAAACTTAACGACAAAAAAAAAAAGTTTTAGACTGAATATGTTTAAGCAGCAAAGTGATGAAGTGTTCAGTTTTAATGTTTTTAATTCAGACGTCCTCATAAACCACAAAAAACAAACTCACTCTGCTCCTCGAGAGAGAGCTGGATCTGGATTTATATCAAGAAGGTTCTGAAGAAAGTAGTCTGGGATCATATCCTGCTTCACTCTGACACTCTGAACCAACATGGAGGATGAACCGTTTACAGACTGCCATGACGACACGTGTAACACCTGTAAATACTTGGGCTAACCTGCATCATGTAAGCCCTGCGACGCGCTTCATTTTCATGGTTACGTGACCCGATGTGACCTCAGACAGAGACACGGATCAGTTTCTGAGGAGGTTGAATCTTTAAGTGCCAACGTGGACAGAAAATTACCTGACCCCCCCCCCTACTCCCCTCCCTTGACTCCTCCCCCTGCTGCAGGTAGCGTGGCGGGTCATACCATGTTGCTCTGATGTAAGGGGGGTGAAGGGACAGACAATCACGGCCACACAGGAAGTCTTCCACCTGCAGCAGGGACTCTTACTCCCATTTCTCTTACTTCCTCTCTCCTTTGTGCCCATTTCATTTTGCTCATTACTATCCATCCTTTTCCTCCTCTTTTTGCGCTCCTCCCATTCTTCCTTCTCATCCCTCCTTGCTTGCTCCTCCCTCGTGCTTTTTCTCATTTCTTCAGTTCTATCTTCCCTCCCCTTGCACCTTTTTTACCATCTCCCTCCTTCCTGTCCTCTCTCCCTCCTTCCTCTCTCAATCCAGCCTCCGTTCCCCTTTGATCCTCCTCTTCGTTCCATGTTTTTTTTTTGTTTCTCTTCATCTTTGAGCGTTTTATAATTGTCGTCATGACGCCGACATCTCCATTTTCTACATGCAGTGTTCAAAAAAATAATAATTCACCCATAGTTCAAATTGTTTCATGTGATGAGATAATAACCGTGGCTGTCAGGACGAGACAACAGAAAATGTATTATATATGAAAATTGTCAATATTCTACATGTATAGTGATTTATTTTTATGAGGAGAAGTCGCAGTAATTGAGAATGAAATCAAAATATTATGAGTAAAAAGTCAGAATCATAAAAAAATGTATGTTGATGTAAAGAAAATGAAAACATGACGGTAAATCTGTGAAGTTTTGATAAGAAATAAGACGTGAGGAAGTTTGTATGGAAGTCATAGGCAGGTCAACATAATGAGATAAAGCCACTTGTCCACCTAGCGTTTTTTTTTTTTTACGTGTGAAATAATGACTTTATCTCAATATCAGGATTTTAACGATGAAAATTTGCTTTTCATTTTATTAAATTGGTCATAAGATAAGAACTTTTTCTTTAGCATCACAGCGGTTTCTCGTAACATCATTTTTTTTAAATCTGCAAATTAAGACTCTTAAAGTGGACTGTGGTCCTCTCTCATCGTCCGTCCTGAAACTGGGTCACTTGGTCATCACTATCTCCACTTGTCTTAATGAACCTGAATGGATTGAGTTCATTAATTGATTTCCTCTGTCAGTGCCGCAGGAGAACATCAGTTCCTGTTGTACTCTTCTTCTGTGGTTTAAATTCTGTTTGTTTTTTTTTCATTTTGGTTTGTTGGTCCGTGTGGGGGAGCAGGTTTCCGTTTTTCTTGTTTTAGTGATTGAAAAAAAAAAAAGAAAAGAAATCGCAGGTCACACTGATGAGTTTTGTTTGAAAGTTTAGGTGAACACCTTCATCGATGTGATTATTTAACATTTTGATGACGAGCTTCAGTCGCAGTTGAACACGATTCATCTCAACCTTTTAACGACAAACCTCCATTTACCTCCGGCCTTCTTAAAGTCAGCCATGTTTACTGCTAACAGCGACCCTGAAGGCCCCGTTCCTCTTCATCGTAACAAGTCATCACGTTGTTCTCCCAATCTGCATCGGCCTATTATCAACAGAACGTTAAAATAGCAATAATTTGAATGGGGTTTGGTGAGCGATTTTTCCAACAGCTTTGCACCGTATTGAAGTGTAATCTGGTGTCATGCAGAAATGTGGCTAATCAGTCGCTCCCTGCTAAGTGCTTAATGCTAGCTCTTTAACTCAGTATAACGCCAAGAAATTCAGCCAGTCTCACAGATGACCGAAGAAGATCCTGACGTATGAACTAATTCAGAAGTAGACCAGATTAGATTCTGAATCGAATCGCGGCCCCAATAATCGAAATCGATCGAACCGTGAGACACCCAAAGATTCCCAGTCCTACCCAACACCGATCATTTACTTCTAATGGCAACACTTGATTTCAGTAAGATGTCAACCGAATGCAAATATCAAAACCAGCTGTTTGCATGAAGCTGTTTGGTACCAGACTGAAATCAAATATCCGCTGATGTCATCTTTTTTTCTTTCTGGTCTGGGCAAAACATCTTTATCTGTCATTCAGGTTGATGATTAAAGCCCATTAAAGAGTTGCACATGTGCAGTAGAGACGTTGGTAGAGATGTTGGTGCATCGTTAACTGCGACAGGAAGTTGTAAGCCCCTCCCCCCATCTGCCTTACAAACTGTTTGCTGTAAAACTTCAGTCATAAACTGTAAAACTAATCATGTTGATAATGTTTAAAGTGACTTATTAGGAGGACAGACAGTCGTTCTAACCGTAGTGATCAAAGTAGCTTTAGACTCAAACTGGGACTGATGGTTCGTTAGATTCCCAGTTTAACAGCATGCTCTCTCTAACTGGTCTCTGTACTTTAACTGCAGCTGTCTGAAATAAACTCTCAAACTGTTCTGAATCGTCTCGTCTGTTTCTTTCAGACTGAGGTCAAACGGTGGACAAACACCAAAGTAGAGTCACGTTTGTCTTCATTGTTGTCCATGCACCTGCTTGTGTTTGAGTCACTGAGAAAAGGTAGATGATGTCCAGAGCGTGGGAATTTTGTCGACAGCTTTTGAGCTTCATATTCCCGAGTCTGAAGACAAAACAAATCTGCTGTGTAAGTGATTGTTTCAGTCATACTTCATTTATAAAAATTCATGTTAAAATAATTCTTACTTCCATAAACTCTCTTTAAATTATACTATTTCCTGGCTGTTATTTAAAGTATTTTGCATTTGTTTTATGACATTTGTATCAGTTTATATTTAACGTCTTTATATAATCTTTACAGCTTGTAGAAAATCAGCAAAAAGTTGTGAGTTTGAAGGAGAAAAAGAAACGAGAGTGTACAGCCATTTTTGATTGGACAAGACAGAAACAGTAAATATTCTACTCATTAATTAAGATAATCCTTTATTTATCCCACAACGGGGAAATTTACATTGTTACAGCAGCAAAGAGCAAAGATTGCAAACAAAAAGTGAACACAGTACAATTTAAATAAAAAAAAAAAATTAAGAATGTACAAAAAAATAGATTAAAAAAGATTAAAAAAAATAAAAAATAGATCAGCTATTTGACAAAAGTGTAGTCCGTAATATTCCGTGTAACACAGACATGCACACAGGTCACATAAGGTGTAACATGTTATTGCACAAAGTGGATGGTTAAACATAATATAACATTAATGTAACATTATTATTGCACATAAAAACAAAGACATCGTAAATTAATTCAGTTGCTGGACACTTAATTGATCGTAAGGACAATGATTGTTTTATAACTTGCAAATTAATGAATGAATCCATCATTGATTGGGGTTAATTTAAATTCTTTATTTAAAAGAAATGCATGTTGGTCTACCAATGAACACTAGGGGGCAGGCTTTTTGTTTTCCTAGGTTCAGAGTTCAGAGTTCCTTCTCCCGGAAGCACATGAAGAAAAACAGAGGAGTCCACATGGGGAAGATTTGTTGCTGAATGTGGATGAAAAACACAAGACCTGAGTATTTCACATACATGAACACTGAGAGCTTAAATCTGCAGGTTTTGTCTGAGGAGTTTGGTTTGGATGACGTTTTGAAACATGGCGGACCTCAACGTTATCAAGCTGCCGGCGGAGGAGGTGAGAGAGCCGGCCGAGAAGAAGGTGAAGAAGAGGGCTCGACCACCGAAGCTGGACCCGGTGGAAGAGGCACAAAAACGGCAGAAAAACGTGGCGAGTGTTCGGGTGCTGGGAGAGGAAGACGGGTCGGTGAAGCTGCTGGAGGAGCTCGTGTTCGGGGCGGAGGATGAGCTGGTGGAGAGACTCGTGGAGGTATTCTCTTACCAACCAGACCCCGTTTAGAAATATACTAAGTTTGTGTTTCTCCTGGGAAAAAGTCGCTTTTATGTACAACTTGGAGCAAGATTTAATTCTTCTATTACTTTTAGTTATTTCTGGTAAATTCGGCTTGCATAATATAATGTCAGCTGTATAAATGTATTCTCACAAAAACTCAATATGTGAGAAACAGCAAACCCTCCTTTCACTGGTTTATAAATGATTTCAAATATTTTTTCTTATCTGAAAAAAATTAAATCTAGCAGGATTGTTAGAAAGGTTGAGTGCTGACTTATGGAAATTCTTATTGTTTTGATTTCTGGCCCTTGTTGATTTTTTTTTTGTCCTTGCTCCAGATTGTTGTCTGCTTGTTTACTTTTTGAAAAGTTTGATTTTTATTTATTTATTTATTTTTTATATATATAATCCCCCCTAGTCTTGATTTATTTTTGAAATAACTTGTTTAAGTTATCCTCTTTAAGAGTTTATATAAACATTTTTTGCATATTTTAATTTTGTCAATAAAGACGGTTAAAAAAAAAAGTATACTGTAAGAATACCTAATGAATTAACATCACATTTTATTTAATTTTTTTGCTAAAATGCATGAAAATTGATGTAACATTCACTCAACTCACGATCCTTAATGCCATCTGAGTGGAGTCTGTAGCCTGACCTGTTTACCTCGTCAAAAATTCTCCTTTTAAAACTCATAACGAGTCCTCCAGATGTCGCCTCCCTCTCAGCTCACGTTGGGACAGACCTCATGAGTGTCTCCCTGTCGCGTCCTCTGACATCACTTTCTGTGTTTGAGCAGGAGGATGGGGTGCGGACGGGGACGGGGACTCTGTTGGAGGAGGACGGAGACGAGGAGTCAGCCGACTCTGAGGCTGAGGACGGAGCTCGCCTGCTGCCGAGCAGAAAAGCTGCGGCCTGGGTGGACGAGGATGACGAGCGAGAGGAACAGTGAGTTCTTCATCTTGGGCTCGGCTCAGTTTCAGAGAAATTCAGAGTTTGGATGGAACTAATGTGAAGCCCCCCCCCCCCCCCTATTAATGATAACACCTTATTTAAAGTAACTAAGGGAAATAAACAAACTAAAAAGGAGTAAAAGAAATAAAATGCAATAAAGGGAAATGAGTTAAAAATGAGCAGCTGTCATTCTGTGTCAGATCTCAGGTGTGTGTTTGTGTTTCAGGGTGGACATGAAGCATCGTTTCCGTAGAGACCTGATCAGAGGAGAGGCTGAGTCAACCATGAACAAACAGAAACTGCAGCAGAGAATGAGAGACCAGTGAGTACACACACACACTCCTACTTACACACACACACACACACACACACAGTACCTGTTTGTTGACCGGGTGTGTTTCAGGTTTCAGAAGTCGATGGGAGGAACCCCGTCGTGGGCAGACGTCAGCGACAGGAAGAAGAAGAAGAAGAAGAAAGGTAGGAAGACGCTGTGATTTCCTTTTCAAAATCTTCAGATGATAAAACATGTTCAAAATCACAGCGTGTGTTTCCGTGTTTATGAAGCCGCTGAAGATGAAGAAGACGAGGATGAAGAGGACGATGAGCTGCTGAGGAGGACGGGGAACTTTGTGGCGTCTTCGGACAGTCTGCCGAGTGGCATCCTCAGGGTACGTTACCTCACTGACTACAAAAGAAAAAAAAAAAAGGGTGTTCAGCAGAGACCTCAGTCCAGACCCGACGCCCGTTCAGGTTTGATTCCATGTTTTTCTTTAAGTTCGCGTCAGCAGCCAGGGACGACGTGCAGCAAAACACCGAGGTCGGCTTGAACCTAAGGCCGCTGTCTCTGTACAGGAGGCGCACGCTCTAACCGCTGAGCCAAACCTGGCGCCCCTTTAGTTTAATATTACTTAACTTGCTTGTTCATAGAGAGCAAAATGAACCAAAGTCAAATCCATAGTCTCTGTTTTCACTCGTTCCCAGATGAAGAAACGTCTTGACGCCAACAGCGCCCGTCCATCAGAGGACAAACTGACCACCGTCCAGTTCCATCCCTCCGCTCAGGTTGTCATGACAGCTGGCCTGGACCAATCACTGTCCCTCTTCCAGGTACACTCAGCACACCAGCGTATCAGATCTCTCTTCATATCAGAGGATGTAAAATCAGGTGGAGATGTTGATGTGTGTGTGTGTGTGTGTGTGTGCCTGTGTGTGTGTGTGTGTCGACCTGCAGGTGGACGGGAAGTCGAACCCGAAGATCCAGAGCATCCACCTGGAGCGTTTCCCCATTCACCGCGCCGCGTTCAGCCCGGACGGCGAGACGGTGATCGCCACCAGCCTGAAGAACAAGATGTTCTACCTGTACGACATGATGGAGGGCCGGGTCACACCTGTGCACACGGTCAGAGGTGAGCAGGGGTCACGCAGGTCACGCAGAGGTCACATGCGGACACATCCTGCAGGTGGTTAAATGTTTGTGTTTGTGTTTCAGGTCTGAATGAAGCCAGAGTGAAGGAGTTCTCTGTTTGTCCTGAAGGAGGCGCTCTGCTGCTCACCGGGACCAACGGATACCTGCACCTGCTCACGCTCAAGGTTAATATTCTTCTTCTGTTTCTTTGCTGCTTCCTCTCCACCTTCTACTTTTCTCTCTTCGTCTTCTTCTGTTTCTTATCCCCCCTGCCTTCACTTCTTTTTCTTCTAGTTCTTTGCTTTTTCATGTTTCCTTTTTATATTCCTGCTACATCTGCTATTTTTGTTTCTTCTTCTTCTTCTCCTCCTTCTGATATTTTGTGTCCCTCTTCACCTGTTTCTGCTTCTTTTCTTCTTCTGCTGCTTGCTGGTAGATCTTCAATTTGATGTGAATCACTTTGTATTAATCAGACAAACTTTCTTATAACAGTCAGTTAATGAACTATTTCTTTCTGTCTTCGTGAGAGCCTTAAAAAAGGGTTTGAAGTTTACACAAATCCTGTGTGTGCGTGTGCGTGTGCGTTTGTGTGTGTGTGTGTGTGTGTGTGTGTGTGTGTGTGTGTGTGTGTGTGTGTGTGTGTGTGTGTGTGTGTGTGTGTGTGTCAGACTAAGGAGGTGGTCCGCAGTATGAAGATAAACGGTAACATCTGCGGCGTCGACTTCTCTCACGACGGCAGCAAAGTGTTCGCCAACTCAGGTGAGTCACAGCGATCAGAGAGTGCATTGTGACATCACAGATCCACTTCCTGTCATGTGATTAACGTGTGTGTGTGTGTGTACAGAGGAGGGGGAGGTGTATGTGTGGGACATGCGCAGCAGTCGCTGCGTGAACAGGTTTACAGATGACGGCTGCGTGAAGGGAACGTCCATCGCCGCGTCACGGAACGGACGCTACCTCGCCTGCGGGTAAGACACGCCCACACGCACTGTCCTGCTCTCTGATTGGCTGACAGTCATTTATGGTATATTGCTATCAGTGATGGATCGGATCAAGACGACAGTGTTTTAAATGTTTTTCTGTCCATATAAATGTTCATATCCTTCACATTCTGATACGCATGCTTTTATTTTGAAATATAAGAAGAATGGGATAATGACGCTTAGTTACCGCACTTTTGTGGATTCACAGAGCTTTTGTTTCTTTGTCAAGGTGACATCATTGGTTTTCTTGTTTAGTTTATTCTTTTAAAAAGTCGTTCATAAGGTTTTAAAAACTCACACAATAAAAGTATTTTTAGAAATATTAGTTCAAACTCAAATAGAGATCATTTTGTCCCCAGGTGTGTCAGTATTTTTGGTTATCTCTGTGTTGCAGCTCTCAGTCGGGCGTGGTCAACATTTACTCCCAGGAGGCGTGTCTCAATTCGACCAATCCCAAGCCTCTGAAGGCGGTGATGAACCTGCTGACCTCTGCGACCTCTCTGAGGTTTAACCCCACCTCTGAGATCCTCGCGATCGCCTCCCGTGCCGAGGACGAGGCCGTGAAACTGGTGAGCTGATGATGATGATGATGATGAAGAGGAGGATGTTTAGACAGCTGATGGCCGTCTGTGATATCTCTGACCTGCTTTTGTCTTCTCAGGTCCACATGCCAAGCCTCTCCGTCTTCTCCAACTTCCCCGTATCCAAGAGGAAGGTTGTTTATCGAGCCAGCTGCCTCGACTTCTCCCCACACAGCGGCTTCTTCTCATTGGCCAACAGCAAAGGACACGCCCCTCTCTTCAGGTGAGACAACTTCAAAAGCCTCTTCCAGGAGTTTTACCTCCAGGTTCATTAACCAAAATCACCTGCTAACATCTCAAATCTGTTTTTGTGTGTTCAGGTTGCTGCATTACAAAGACTTCTGAGGACGAACACAAAACCCGACTGAGCGATTTAAAGGACCTGTCCGCTGTTTTTAACCACCTGCTGTCTATAAATCCTGTGAACTTTTATTGCATCATATCATTTTTAATTCATAATATATCTACGACATACAGCTTCTGGTCTCAGAAAGTTTATTTGTATGAACTAAAATCAGCAGATTGTTGCAAATGATAATCAGGAAGCTTGGAGTTTACAGGATTTGTAGTTCTCGCGTTAAAATGCTAAAAATCCCAGAGGGGTTTGGTGTGGACTCTGATCAAAAGCAGCCTGAACGCGCACGTGAGAGGTGATTTGAAGATAAATGGAAGCCAGAAAAAAAACATGAACTACAGTTTCAGTGAGCTATATTTGTTTTTTATTATCTGTACGATGTGATTGTATAAAAAACTTAAACCACGTCATGTGTTCGTCTTATTTTTGACCCAGAAAAACGCACAGATTCAAACACCTCACAACTCAGATTCAGTCCAGTTAGCATTTCAAATATCTGAGCTAATGAACGCAGTTCGGTTGAGGCCTCGGTTAAAGGAACGGAAGCTAACTGTGATTTATAGAGCTCAGATTTGTCCCTTCTATATGTCAGCACTGTGATTGACAGGCGACCAGTCCAAGGTGTACCCTCCCTATCGCCCAATGACGGCCGGGATTTGCTCCACCCCCTAAAGTCCTCGAATGGGACGAGCAGCAGATGGATGAAAACCTGTAAAATGAATAGAAAAGCTTGAATGCTAACTGCTAAAACTGATGATCTTTTCATACCTGTTCAATAAATGAGTTGAGTGACAGTTGTTGTGCTTTAAGCTCTCGACTGATATTAGCTGGTTTACTGTTGACCACCGTCCAGTTCCAGCCCTCTCCGCTCAGGTTGTCATGACTGCTGGCCTGGACCAATCACTGTCCCTCTTCCAGGTACAATCAGCCAATCAGATCTCTCTAAATTTCTACATTCCAGGTCAAAAATTAAAAGGATAGACGTCAAAGTTCATATTCTTTTTGATCTTGAAAGTTGTTACTTCGCATGTTTTGTTTTTGTATCATGAATCTGATATGTTAAACCTCTTAGCCAATAGTTCTGAATTCAATATTTGTCTCTCTTTTGGCTGTCATGGGCTTCCGTACAGTGAAGGAGGAGTATTTTTTATTTGCATAACAAAAAACTGAGAAGACAAATGAGCAAATCAAAGGCCAGGAGCCAAACAGGATTCACCACCTCACACCTCACACCTCCACCCTCTCACACACACACACACACCTTTACATGCAGATAAAAACAAACACCTTTACCTTTTACTTACACACACACACACGCACACACACACACACACACACTCTGCAGGAATGTCCTCTGTCCTGTCTGTCCTCAGGTTTGTCTTCAGGTGTCATAAGCAAACTGGAGGGGGTTAAACAGTAACAGAACACTGCTCATGAACAAGGCATCAATATAACCAAAACCTTTGTGCTTTATATATTTATTTCTTAAATATATGTACCACTCATCTATTCAGTAAAATAACTAGTTTACCTGTCTGAAAATTCATGGTTTCTTATATTTATGTTTTATTTATTTATCTTATTTTCACATTTGTTTCTATTTGAATATATTTTGCATTATTTTGTAAAATTAAATGTAACACGTCTCTGTATTTCTTTATGCTATTAAATTATTTAATTTAGACAGTTCTCATTTGGTAATTACTTTATTTTATATATTTGTATGTCTCTGTCTCTTTGAGGTATTTTCATCAAAATTCACTTTTCATTGTACACAGTATATTTCTTTAAAGTTGTTTTTAAGATTGTGTACACATTTATTTTTTAACTTTACATGTCATGTCAATGTTTATTTAGTCATCCAAATGCATCTTTATTAGTAGCTTCATTTTTTTTTTACATTGATATTTTTTAAAGGTTCTGTAAAGAAAAAAAATCTTGAAAATCTTGATTTACCCTTGAATTAGCATTTGGTATTTTAGTTTTATGACAGCGTTTTATTTTTTATTCGTCGTGTCTTTTTCTCACTTTTTAACTACTTATAAACTACAATGGATGCAAATTAAATACAAAAAAATATAACAGATGTATTAAAGTTGTATTTACGTAAAACGTAACCAAGTTCGAGCATTTTAAAGCGAGATTAAACATCAACCGTCCAAACTCACCTGACAACTTTCTGCACCTGCTGTCAATCACGGCGAAAGTCTCCGCCCACTGATGACACCACAGGCTAACCAGAGTTTCTGCATTGCAGAAAAAACAACATCGACTGTCAGAGTGAAAGGTAAGAAACTGCTGCTCTCTGGAAGTTTCCATCTCTTTATCTAAAATACGGAACAAATAATATCTAAAAATCACAAACAGCAGAACAGATATTTTAAGGTTAACGATTTTACCGGAAAGTTAAAATGTTTGTTTGGAGGACTTCTTCTTCTTCTTCTTCTTCTTTAACTAAATCTGTTTGTGCAACTGTGATCAGATCCTTTTTTTCTACAGATCAGGATTTGTCAAAAAATAGGTATCAAATGAATTTTACTGAACAGACTGAACAGAAACTCACCTGGGATTAACTGTGGTGTGAAATCCTGTTTGTTTGTGTTTCCTCTCAGAGCTGTTAGAATATGCACACCTGTCCCAGCAGGTTCATCGTGATGGCGTTTGTTGTTTCATGTGGTTTTTCTTTTATCATGTGCTCAGACATGAGAACATTCAGATCCTGTCAAATGATGCCAGCAATGTTTGAAGAAATATTTAGTTTTCTCTTTTCACTTCTGACACTTCACTGTCGTGTGTGTTCAAGTAAAAAAAACAAAAACACGTTTTAACCTTTATAAATCTGTGTGTGTCAAACTGTGAAGCAGCTGCAGACAAACACACTTCTTAACTTCAATCAAAAATGTTTAGGTAGCCAGTTAAGCTAAGATAACATGTCCTGAATACAACTTTAAAGTTACTTTTGAATTTAACAAAAAAACTTTTTTCAACATTCAAATTGATTATATGTATCTGACTTCTTTTGCTAAAAGTGTTTGGAGTTAAAATGTGTGACGGTTTAGAAAAAATCATTTGTATGGAGCTCCTGAAGTCCCAAAAAGTAAAAAAATAGATGTTGTTTCACTTTTTGGGACTTCAGGGGCTCCGTACATTTAAAGTTAAGACCTCAACCACTCAAGCCAAAATGTCCTTCTGATTTCCACATCGTCCTAAAATGTTTGAAATCAACTTTACAACCAAATCAAAATCCTAGAACAACAATTTAAGTTCTCCTATACATGCTAGCACTAAAACATAACCTCAAACTAAAACTTTGTTTAAACTCTTAAACACATCCTAACCAGGTGATAAAACACAAAGTTGGTTTTCTGGTTTTCACATATAAAAGTGGGAATGTATTCCAACAAGGTGAGCAGGCTGTCAGGACCCCGTCCTCACAATGCCAATCTGAAGTTCTCTATGATCTTATTTTTGTCTTTTGTGAATTTAAAAAAAAAATATATTTTTTATTCTGTTGTGAATTAATTTGTAGATTAAAAGTTGGTTTTCAGGTCACAGCTTCCCCTCAAATATCCCCTTCCCATCAATATCACAACTTGAAGTGAACCACTGCTAACAAACTACTCTGCAAAGATTTCCTCTGAGGACGGTTTTTCAAGTTCAGTCGTTATGTTTTGTAGCTCTTCGTCAGGGGTGCTCAACTTTTCCACGTTGGTTTCAATGATTATGGTTTCAAACTGCTGGTTTCAATGATTATGGTTTGTGGATGAGTCGATAGTTTGATATTTGATTAAATTAAATGTGTGAGAGGCGTCAATAAAAGGCTGCACTGTCACTTCAAATCACCAATTTACCATATCACCTATTTCCCCTTCCTCCAAAATGAGGTCAGGATTTGCTTAGCTGTCTGGTTCTCACATTTTGCTGACAGGTTTGTTTGGATAGATTACAAACTGTGCGTGGGAAGTGGCATGTACGCCAGTTTATGTGCCCTGCAAACACAAGTTTATTCATTAAAACCGAAGCCTCTTCGTGATGCACACTTTGTCTGCATCAACCTTTACATAATGCATTGTACTTTTCAAGCCTGTTTTAGCTTAGTCATTTCAATGTTATTCTGAAAGTAAGCCTTCACTGAAACTGTCAAATGAGTGTAGTACATCCACCCATTCAGTCCTACATGTTTTGAATGTGAAGTATAGAAAGTAAATCACAATGAAAATCACTCGCATCAAATTAAAATACCTCCAAAAGAATCAGAAAGGTATCGTTAGTACAATATTTCTTAGCAGCTGCTCATTTTTTCCTGGTTGGTTAAAATGTTTTTAGCTTAGTTAAAGTTTAGCACAAAGTGAGGTTTTAACTCCTAAACCTCTTAACTTCTCCATTTTGAAACTGTTTCCCCTTTCAACAGAAGTCCAACATTACTCCAGAAAAATGAAGTTTTATAAAAGTGATTTACGTTTTATAGATTACCAGAAAACATGATCACAGAAAGTTCACCTCTTATGAGAGTAATGTTCCGTCCTTAAACACCTGATTTCTTTCTCTAATAATAACCTTCAATGTCTTTCAAGTATGATGTTAGATATATAGATATATTTTAAGAGGATTGTCACTCTTTGGTTGCTGTAAATGTGCAGAATTTGTAGAAATGCAAGTTTAAAGTTTAAAGCAGCGCGTGTGTGTGTGTGAGACATATCTTATTATCACCATCACCAACACGTCTCTGTGTTTATTGTTCCTGTTCCCACACATATTTAAAATATTTCCTCCTGCGATAAAGCTTTTTTCTTTTATTCTTCTGTGTAAACTGAACTTTCACTCATCAGAGGAGAACTGGCGCAAAGTTTTCTGCAAGTGAATGCTGATAAGGAGTTACGTTTCCTGGTTTCAGAATGTGTTTGGTATTAAAGTCACTATCCGATAATAATGGGATGATATGAGCGGTTAAAACGTGCAGAACAGACGAATCGATCCACATCAAAACACACAGGTGACCGACAGGTGCAGGTCATATGAAACGGATTATAATCTTCCTCCTGAAACCGAGAGTTTGTCACGTCTCAAGCACTCTGGTGTCCAAAGCTGTTGAGACTCGAGGACACCTTAAGTTTGTCAATCCATCAATCTTCATTTGTATAGCGCCAATTCATAACAAATGTTATCTCGAGACACTTTTACAAAAAGCAGGTAAAAGACATGAGCAACATTTAGCAAAGTGACAGTGACAAGAAAAAAAACGTCCTTACAGAGACAGAAACCTCGATCAGAACCAGAATCATGTTGATCAGCCGTCTGCAGAAAGTGTGTTGCTGTTGAGAGGGAGATGCAGAAGGAGAGGGACGATCCACCAATAATTAGAAAAGATTAACAGCTACAAAGTCAGTAATAATATAAAATGTATGTGTGTTTTGGTCTGTCTGTTGTTAGATTTGTCTGTAGCTCTATCTTTACCTGTCTAATGTGTTTAAAAGCTGCATATCTTCACACCTGTCCAGCTGTATTTCCACTTGTCTGTTAGTTCTGCTTTTCACCCCCCATGTTATTCAGATGTCTGTCTTAACATTGTTTTTTAAAACATCTTTAAATCTGTCTGTCTCTCTGTTTTACACCTCTCCACCTTAAGCTATTTTTTACTCATATCTGTCTATCTCTACACCTGTCTACGTCCTTTTAACTTTCTATCTTTAAACTTATCGCTATGATTTTTAAATCTGTCTGTTTTTTTTTACAACTGTCTGTCTGTCTGCCTCATAAACCTGTCTGTCCTCCTCACGCCTGTCTTTCTGTCTGTTTGTCTGTACACCCGTCTGACTCCGATGACTTGAGCGCTCTCGGTTTTGTTATTTTTGGCTGTTGTTTAAATCTGTTAGTGTGTCGGACTTTAAGCAGGAATGCTGTCTGACCTGGTCCTTTATCCACCTACACTTTATTGTTTTTAACCTGTGAGGTAAAATGATTCAACATTTTCTCTTCTGGCTAAATTATCTGATGAAAATGTTTTCTTTGAGACAAAAGACTTCCTCTTTAATACTGTTCGGATTACCTCAGAACCTCCTGTTCTGAGTTCTTGGTTAAGATTTATTCACTTTATTCTCATCTCCTGTTACACTGCTAACGCTAACAGGTGGTGTGAAGGTCTTCAGTTAGTTGATGTAAGAGTACTGTGTGGACTTAATGGTTAGTGTGTCAGATAGGGTTTTTGTGTATTGGCATTATATAAATACCTATTGAATGATGAGATTCTGTTGTGTTTTCAGACACTTTGAATTACCACCTGTATCTGTCAATTACAAAAAACTTGTAGTGGACACACTCTAGTTGTTATGGCCATTTCAGGCTAAAGCTACAGGCACAAAAAAATCAACTGCTTTCAGTTGTTACATTCTTTTGTACCTTTTTGTCATTATACCCTAAAAATTTGTAAAGAGAAACCCCCAAATGGTCCAGGTTTTTAAATAGCGGATGTAATAATCAGAAACAGGTCGCACAATGTAGCTTTGTTATTGTTGCGGCTGTTTACGTTTCCTCTCATCTGTCCTGCAGAAGTATGATGATGGCGGAGGCATCAGCCTCAGATCTGTTCTCAGAGCAGGAGTTAACCTGTTCCATCTGTCTCGATGTGTTTGATGAACCTGTCTCCACTCCCTGTGGACACAACTTCTGCCAGGTAACATTTACACAGTAACACCTAAGAACCTGTTCAAAGGGTTTAGTCCACGAGGGTAACGCGTTTGTTCCCTGAATAGTCTTTCAGGGAAACAGATTTTTACTTGAGACAAGTTAAAGGATATAACCTTCTTATTCCTCTGATGTGTATTTTGCAGGCGTGTATTGGAGGCTACTGGGCATCCAGTGCGGTCTGTACCTGTCCGCTCTGTAAACGTCAGTTTGATGAACGCCCTCAGCTCAGCGTCAACAAAGTCTTCGCTCTCATAGCAGACAAATACAAAGAAGCTCAATATGACGCAGCAGGGTTACCAATGCCCGCCAGGAATGGAACACCGGGGGTGACGGGGGCCATGACAACAGACACATCCAGCACCAACCCGTTTATGCCGTCATATGGTGAGGAGGTGGTGTGGTGCGATATCTGTACAGGTCTTAAAAAACCTGCTGTCAGCTCCTGTCTCACCTGCACGGCTTCCTACTGCACTGAGCATGTGCAGCCACATCAGACCACACCCTTCTATGCCAAACACCCGCTGTTGGACCCTCAGGAGGCCCTCAGGGGCCGCACATGCTCGCAACACCACCGCCTGCTGGAGGTGAGAGGAAACACAGACTTAATGTAACGTAGATGTTTATTGTATGTTGTTCAGGTCAAGTCAGGTATTCTTGTTTATTCAAATTTTGATTCCCTGTGTTTTACAAAGAAGTTTAAAAAACAATTCCCTTTTAACGAACTAAAGATTTATTCAACATTAAGATGAAATATGTGTTTGGAATTTAACTGGTTTCACATTGATTTATCAGGGAGTCAGTTTATTGCACATGTTGCTGAGCAGGATTAAAATACAACTTACTTTGCATATGGTGTTCCACAGGGTTCGTTACTCGGCCCACTGCAGTTCATAATAAGCAAGTTTCCAATTTATAGCCAAATTATAGCCACCATAGTTTATTTTTCTAATAATTTAGATGTCAGGCAACAGTACTTACAGTATTACAGATCAGATATGTAGCAACTGTTGGAAATGTATGTAGGACAAACCCAAAATGTTTGACATTAGTTCTGATTAGAAAAGAAAACCTGTTAAAAACAGATCAGTGTACATCTTAGTAAATTATTTTTTATGGATTCTTACTCATCTTAACATGTTGTTGGGACTGAACTTACGTCTTATTTTTCACCTTTAACCACCTGATGTGTTCACTTGTCCAGGTGTTCTGTCGGACATGTCAGCGCTGCATCTGTGCCATTTGTGTCCTGGAGGAACATCGAACACACAAAACCGTTTCTGTCCAAACTGAGAGAGTCAGCAAACAGGTAGAGAGCAAGAAACATGCTCATTGTTATTATAAGGAATTCAATTATATACAAATGTTGTGTCATTGTTCTATGACAACTCATTCTGCCATTAAAACAGATTCTGTCTTGATTTCAGAAACATGTAGCGAGGACGGAGCAAGAGATTCTGAACCGGATCAAAGAGAAAGAGATTCATGTGACTCAGTTGAAGAGGAAACTGCAAGGAGTAAAGGTCAGACTTACTGTTTTAATTCGTAAACAATTCTACACTTTAATTTTTTTTTTATATATATAAGTGAGGCCCTGTCAGTTGGAAGTAGTTCATCCTGCTGCTTTGCTAGTTGGCATGAAAAACTGCAGACTAATAAAAAGGGTTGAGGTCTAAAGTCATGTTAACTGTGTCACCTATTTTCTACAGTTTTATGCATATCTGGTTACCCTCCTTCAAATGTTTAATGATCAATAAAGTCAGTTTTTAGTTGAATTTCATATTTGTTTGTCTGTTGTTTTAGCTCACGTTTGAGACTATGTTCTTGTTACTTAAAGTAGACAACTTTTGATTGATTGTCAAATATTCAAGCATTATTGAAGGCTAACTTTTAAACCGTTTATCCATCAGCTTAACATTTCAGTTACGGTTTAGCAATAATGTTTAGCTCACCATTCTGTATATTCAAAATGTTTTGGCTTTCTACTTAAACTGTTTATCCATTTATCGGAACATGTAAATACTTTTATCCCAAAAATGGCTCATATCAGATTTCTATAATCACTTTGATTATTGTGATACATTTTGATTTTGCTCGCAGATGTATGCAGACGGTGAGCGAGGTGAGGTGGAAAACCTCCTGGATGAAGTGTCAAGCTCATTGGACAGGATCCGGTCTCAGGTGGTGGGCGGGATTGAGATCCAGCTTGATGCCATGATGTCGAAGGGGGGGGGGCTTGTGGACAGACTGGAGGCAGAGCTAAGCCAGTTAACTGAGAGGAGGGCAACGCTGGAGGTCCAAGCCATCAGTCAGGACCACATTGGCTTCCTGCAGGTAAGATCATAAAGATTCATACTCTGCTAGTTTTAGCCTTAGTGTGTTAATGTTATACCTTAATCTAGATATGTTTACCCTGTGCAAAAGTATGTGCATACACATGTCTGCACAATAGGTCTATGTGCAATTACACCAGCACTTTAAAGTTACAAGGTCAAGTGCAAATGTGCAAATGACATCTGTACTGATATGTGTGCACTGTCCCTATTTACAATAAATAAATAAATAATCTGGCCCTTTTTGCTTTAGCATAGCGTCTGTTAGCGTATTAAGCCTATGTTCTCCCTCTCTTCCACCTCAGAGCTATGAGAAGGCCACAGCTCCTTTCGCTGAGGACGAGCAGAGGGAAGTGGATGAAGATGAGGAGTTTTCCCTCCACTTCCCCCTGGAGGAGGTGAAGAGCTCTCTGTCCGAGGTGAAGGAGAAGATGGACGACATTCGGATGGGGGAGGTTCGGTACAGAGGCAGCAGAGGTTCCTGTGAGTCCCAGGAGGCGGTCATCTCAATATGTGGGGATAGTTAAATGCATACAGGAAGTTTGTCCTTGATAATAATAACATAAAAAGGATAAACGGATAAAAGATGAGACATCATTGAGGTTATGCATATAATTATTTTTCAAAGAGGGTGTTACATGCTTTAATTCTCTACAATAAACAGTGTAGAGAATCAACATACGTACATCATAAACATGCAAAAAAACATCTCTCTCAAACCAGAAAAAATGATTAGATCATGTATTTCTACATTAGATACAAAGACTGCAGGAACTCTATTAGGCACTTATCACCCAATTTTAAATATAGTGATTTTTACTTGGAGAATTATTTTAAAAAGTATTTTTGCCAAAAACTGAGCATATGGAAATATATATTGCACATGTATTTTTGCCATGTTGGCAGTAAAACATTGGTAACAGTACGACACATTGTGATATGACACGACATGTTACAACCGAGTACAACACAACATGACACAATGCGATGCGACAAAGTAAGGTACAACACTGAATAAAAAACGATGCAATATGATACAATGCCATAAGAAACAATGCGATAAGATGTAATTAGGTACAGCATGATACTGCCACTTTCACTGCCTCCACACCTGTACTAATAAATAATGAACAATGTTGTCGTGTTTCAGTCTCGTCGGGGGATCTGATGGTGGCGGAGAGCATGCTCAGTCTGAGGGCAAGCAGCGCCAGTTTGAGGAAGAGTCACTGGTCTCTGAAAGGTCAGTTCTGATCCAGCATCAGGTGTTCCATCATCAGAGGTTTTATCCATCAGAAATATAACCAGTGTGTTAAGATAAACTCAGGACCAGCAGACACTTAAACTGCATCACCGCCTCTGAGAATACTAAAACATTTTACTTTGATTGGATTCAATCAGCCTGGGTTTGTTTTGAGGACTTTTATTTTGAAAGAATGACTGACTGTGTGATCGTGTCTTCCTTCAGATCATAAGAAGCACAAAACGGTCTCAGGTACGTGTCTGTTTCATCAACATGTTTTTTTTTTATTTGATCATTGATAAACATTTTGAATGAGTCTGCTTCATCGTGAAGTTTCTGTCAGTTAAAGTTTAATGTTTTTTCTTTCTTTCTGTTAGGACACAAGAAGGCTCGAATCTACATGGGTGGGTACATTCAAACTGTTGAATGAATGATTAAGTTACAAGTATAAAAACTACAGATGATAGGATTTAGAGATACAATATGTAGATTCCAGTGGGGAATCATGGGAGATCTCTCTGTCTGTCGTGGCGGCTCATCATGGCGGCCGCCTCGACAAGACACGTCCCGTTACAACTATAAAATTACGGATATCTCTGGCTTTGATAACTGTTGGTAACTTTTAAAGTAATGTGAGTACTCAACAAAAAAAAAATATAACATGGGTTTTTTCCATTTTTAAGTAATTTAGATGTTTTAATTTGAACGTTGTCATAAAATTCTACATATTGTACGTTTAATTAAACTTGAATGATTAAGTTATAAGTATAAATACTACAGATGATAGGATTTAAATGTTCCTTCTTTTTCTTGCAAACAGTGTTTTCTTTTCTTTTTTTTTTGAGTGGTTTATTATGTTTTCATTATGAAGAAACAGTGATAGAATTGGTGGCCTGGACACCTGGTTAGTGCAGTCACATGTTGAAATGTCCATAGGCAAGACACTGAACTCTCAAATGTTCTCACTGCAGCGTCTTGTGAATGCTTAAGAAAGGGATTAGTTTATACTGATGGACACTGAACGTCACATCAGTGTGTGAACGGGGTGAAGGTGACCTGCATTGAAAAAAGTGCTTTGAGTAGTCAGAAGACTGGAAAGGCGCTTTACAAGCTCAAGTCCATTTACGGCCTCGTCATGTCTTTGTTGATGTCAGAGGACGTGATGTTGAACCCGGTGACGGCGTATCCCTTCCTCATCCTGTCTGAGGACAGGAAGCAGGTGAAGAGAGGAGAGAAGCTGCAGTTCTACAGAAACAGTCAGCAGCGCTTCGACGTCTGGTCCTGCGTCACCGCTAAAGAAGGGTTCGGCACGGGACGGCACTACTGGGAGGTCAGTCTCTGAAACACACGACAGGTACTGATATGGTCCAGGGGGTCCAGTGTGACATGTGAGCCTCTGTTCTGTTCACCTGCGCAGGTGTTTGTTGGGGAGAGTAAGGACTGGAAGCTGGGAGTGGTCAGCGAGTCTGCGCAGAGGAAAGGTCTTTTCGACATGAGTCCGACTAACGGGTACTACGCCATCTGGTGGAGCGGCAGCCAGATGCGAGCGCTCACTCCACCTCCTCTTACCAAGGTACAAACACATTTAATGAAATGATATCACCTGAAAACTCCAAAGCACTCACCTATGAGGAATTAATAAGCCGTTTATGTCAAACTACAACTCAGAAAGGTCATTAAAAAAGTTTATTGTCTCAATTAATTTGCTTCTTAATCATTAGAAAAAAACGACAGTAAAACATATTCAAATGTTTCTCTTAAACTTAAAGCATCTGCAGAAATGAATATCTCAGGTTGAGTTGATTGAGTTTCTGGTGATTGACATGCAGATGAACTATCGGTTTTAAATGTAGTAAAATAATAATGAATTCATTGTTCCTGTCGAGCAGGTGAAGAGTCCTCCGAAGCTGCGTCAGGTGGGCGTGTTCCTGGACGTGGAGGAGGGTCAGGTGTCCTTTTATAACGTGAAGTCTGGCTCCGAGATCTACAGCTTCAGCGGACCCTCCGAGTTCACCGAGAGGATGTTTCCTCTGCTGGGCACCGGGGACAAAGAAGTCCCCCTGGTCCTCGGGTCCACTCAGCACCAGCTGGCCTGAAGGACCAGAGGACCAGGCAGAGGGACACAGACGTGGGGGGATTTGAAAGGGGGTCAGAACCTAAATGAAGAAGGGAGAGAAATGGGGGGAGGAGGGAGGAAGACTGACAGACGCACTGGGACAGTGACAGACGATTGCGGCCATGTTGGATGATACAGTTCTGTAATGCCGCTGCCATGACAACAAATAATCAATTTAGTGTCTAATTATAATGAGAAAAAAGTGTCAGTTTTATAAGATTGTTTTGATGTTCTTCAAGATCATATGCATGTTATAATTAGGTCCTTTAAATGTCATAACAAAAGTATCACGCTGTAACGAGATCTCTTTGAATCATTAAGACAGTCTCTGATCATTTTCATGGTTTACTAAGAGACTTTCAATGTTCCGGCAAGATTTTCTTTGATTAAACACCCTCTTTAAATGCTGTAACAAGACTCTTTCCTACGGAAGCCCTAAGTGGACAATCATGCATTTCATTTGGCTCCATATTCCCGTGATCAGGAGTCATTTTCCGGTTGTTTTCTCGATATGTTGACTTATTTTAATGTGGTTATATCAGGACAATGCAGCTGTTTGCCTGTGATAACGAGTTCATTTTTAGGAGATCTCAAAAGAAAAAAGAGACTGAAATAAAAAGCTGTTATCAGGAGGAGACCAGCTTTGTTATCCAGAGATAAACAGATACATTAGTCAAGAAAAAAAAAACGGGAATTTACTTTTTGCAGGAAAACAGAGTAATCTCAAATGTATTGATTTATGTCCTCTTAGGGCTTCCATACTTCTCATGAATTAGCAAGATATTTTTCAAAGTAAAACAAGAGTTTAAATGTCATTGCAAGATCCTGTTGAAGTTATAAAAAATGCTGAATTTAATGCTTTAACAAGATCAGGTTGATAATCTACCAAGATTCTGTCACGATGTAGAGATCTTTAAAAAAAAGAGGTTTTAACAAGATCCTTCTCCTGTATTTGCAAGATGAATTTCATGCTGAAACAGTTTAACATTCTTGCTCTGGATCCGTTTCATGTTGTTCAATGTGAGCTAAGTTCTGTCCACGGTTTTCATATTGAAACTAGATCCTTTCTTGCTCTAGTGAGATCCTTGTCACTCAGACTACGTTTCTGTTAATCCTTTAACATGTTTTTCAGGTTCCAACAAAACCCCTTTCCCCTCTACCAGCCCGACATGTTTCATCATAACGAGATCCTGTAAATGTTCTGGCACTGTGAGGAACCTTTTTTTATAACGTGATTATTGACGCTCAAACATGATCCTGCTCATGCTCTCGCCATATCTTCATGTTTTAACAACACATATTTCATCATCCAGGAGTTTTGTTTTTTTCATGATCCGTCTGCACACAGTGTTTGAATAAGTTCTCTTCTGGTAATAATGTTGAATTAAGTTTGTTTTCACGGATGAGTTGATTTTTACTATGAAGCAAAAAGAAAATAGAGTTCTTCTGGTATAGCAACGCTTTTTGTTGTCATGGTAGCGGCGTTCCTTTTGAAAAACGAGGTCCATCTGGAGGTCTTTGTGTTTCTGCAGACTTTGAGTTTTTTAGTTATCAGGAGACAGGAAATGGTGTATTCAGATATTTTTCTAACAGAGCATGATTATTTACTGAGATTTGTTGAGTGGAAGTATGTTAAACACATAAAACTGTTTTGAAATAAATGCAAATAAAGAATGATGTGTGTTATGTGGATTACAACAGTTACATGCTCAGGTACTTTCCAGTTCAGAGACCATCATGTCTGTTATACTGTATATGTAATGCACTAGTGTTCGATACCTGCCTTTGATATATTTATCTATCGATCTAAAAACGCTATCGGCGGATAAATCTGTATCGGCTGTGTTTTTCTCCCCATATTGATATTAGCCCCGTCAATCTGATATCGGTCAGGCTGTAGTTTTTATTCCAAAACTTTTGTCTGTCATTCAGAAATCTTCTATCTACATTTCTTTTTCAAACTCACAAAGCTCACAACAGATTTATCATTCAAGTTCATATTTTATTTAACATAAATCATATTGCAGTCAATGTGAACAGCTGGGGTTTCAATATACACAATAGAGTCGTAACATTTTTAAGCCCTTTCCCTGTTTGACCCCACCCGCAACAACCCTCCCTCCCTCCCACCCACCCAACTAAAAACCAAAAAAGTCCCCTCCCAGCAATCCCCGCCCACCCTGACTTCTTTTAACAAACACATTGATCCCCCCAACCCAACCCAAAACCCAACCCAACCCAATATTTCTGCCCACCTGACAGCGCTCCGCCCTCTGACCCTCAGTGTGTGTGTGTGTGTGTGTAAAATGAGCAGCAAACTCCAAAATTCTTGCAAAGATGACAGACTTGCAAAAAGAACACATCCACTCAGCCTACTACTCCGCTTGTTGTTGTTTTTTTGCACAATACCAAAAAAAAAGGCTGTCTGAAATCTCCTTCTCCGTCTTGCGTTAAAGAACTTGTTAAGGCGAACTTGCTCTCACTGTAGCTCACAAGCCCCGCCCTCCTGTGCACATAGCCACTCCCACTTTTAAACCCGTCCCTCAAGTGGTGACGGCAAACTTCAACTTTTGTGTCACCATAGGCAGAAAAACCAAGTTGCTGTTTTGCTCAGAGTTACATTTTAAGGCATGCATGATCTAATTGAGACTAACGAGCCCCTCGGACTCTTAACAGGCCACTCCCCCAAGCTCTGACATCATTCCACCTACATATGTGAAACTAACGCTGAGTCGATGTCTTGAGGGACTTTTTAAGGCCGATCTGCTCCCATTAAGGCTCAAGGCCCCAGCCTCCATGACAAATCCATCCCTCTAGTTTGTGAATATTGCCCCTCCTATTCTGGCTCACAAGACCCTCCCACTGAAGCAAGCCACTCCCACTTTACACACAGGCCCCTGGCAAATCAGCGATCATTTGTGGCTATAGCCCGAATCCCGGCAGTCTTTGTGTTTGAGTGTTTGGAGTTTGCTGCGAGGGAGAGGGGGGCGTGTCCTTCTGATCTGACGACACAGGTGTTGGCGCCACACACACAAAATAAAAAAGAAAAGAAAATCTTGTGGCTATCATCATCCTCATCATCATCATCATCAGTGTCGGGGCGTTCTGTAAATCAATAACGCACCCAAGCAACATTCACTGACCACCCGCACCTTCCTCCTCCTCCCTCCCCCCTCCATCATATTACCATCGGCCGATTCTCGCTGTCGGCCATCTTTTCAAGTCCAGTTTCTGTGTGTGTTGTGTGACGGCGTCCCCCTGTGGCGTGTAAACGGTTGAATGCTGCGTCTTAGAAATACAACAAAGAGAAAATAAGAGGAGAGGGAGAATGAAGGAAGAAGGGAGGGCCGGGTTTTTCTTTGTCGTCTTCTTTTGATTTAAAACAGAAAAGCGTCTTCTGGCGTGCTGCTTTCTGTCGCCGCAGCTCCTGCTTCTGCCAACGAGCAGGGCTGAGGAGGATAAGGGGATAGAGGAAGAGGAAGGGCGGGGCAGAGGGAGAAGAGGAGGAGGAGGAGGAGGGGGGGGGTAGTTTAGGGTGAGAGGGAGGGGTGAGTCTGGAGGATCACAGGACGCCGAGTTATTTAAGACACCTCTCGAAGTAGGTGGCGCCCACGTAGCCGCCCCTCAGAGAGCGATGGACGTTCTGCTCAAAGAGTCGCCGGTTTGTCTGAAGGACTTCTGCTGCCTCCTTGTTCAACGGGTCTTCGGGGTTAGGCTCCTGAAGGGGGCGGGGGGGGGGGGGGGAACAGGGAAGTGTCACATTAAGTCGTGTTGATTTGAAAGTTGACAACTTCATCGTCACTGCACAAGTAAAGTTAATCTAATATAACCACTCGACTGGCGCAATGCATAACCGTGTTCAGCACAGGTATGAGGATGTTAACCTGCAAGGAGGAGCTAGGTGCTAGCACTGCTAACGTTAGCCACACCTAACAAACCAATTTGACATTTGTTCAGTATGCAGGTTGAAGACATTTCTTCACGAGCGTACATTAGAAGCCCGAGGCTAAATCCTCTTCTTGTATGCAGCCAATGAGTGTTACTCCAAAGTTAAAGTGTGTGCGCTTTACTCACTAGAAATAGATACTGTAGACCGTAGATGATGGAGTTTATTGTCAAAACAGGCTTCCAGTCCTCTCTGCAGACAAAAACACACAACACAGTTAAAACACAACAAATACACTTCAGTTTTTATCCATTAAATCAGAAGCTTTATGTTTAACAACACAGGATAGATGCCTGGACGATTCATCTTTGAGTGAATTAAACAACATGCAGATTTAAGGAGAACCAAAGGAATTCATCCAATAACCCCATACAACTTCTCACATTGAGGGAACAAACATCAGGCGAGAGTTATCGGAGGTGTTATCATCTAGACAGGATACTTTAAACGTTTGCACTCCTGAGAATGTCAAGAAAATTTGAGGCAAGCTGCAACTGAAATTGTCCTGAGTTGTTTGTTAACAAATGTTCACCTCACAGAGATTGACTATCACGTCGTACAGTCTATGGTCGTGAGCTGGTCATATGTAATAAATGCCCCCCCCTCACACAGTCTCATCTGGACTTCTCGCAGAAAACATATTTGGGGGCTAGCAGAAAAAAATCCCACATGCAACTCAGCCAGAAACATTTCAGGAGGTTTTCAGAAGTATTGTGTGAAAGCAGCATTAGATGAGAAGCACTCTGAAGCAGAGGTTGAGAGCATTGCCAGCACATTAAAGAAAACAACTAAAAGCGTTAATGGACAAAGGGCCTTCAGAAGCTTTAGAAGAAGTCAGTAAGTGACGTTTGAGTTTCTGTAAGTGTAACTGGTTTGAAGTTGCTGCAGCTGTAACAGACCTTAAGATATTTAGGCAGACGTTTCCTTCCAGGTCGATGTTGGGGTGATACACCATCGTCTCACACTTTACCTTGGGGGGGTCGTGGGGGTAACCCTGTCCTACCTGAAACACACACAAACACACACTTTTATGTTTGTTCTTTTTTGGATATAAACAAAAACAGAGGTGAAAGACTGACAGATGTTTCTCACCTTAAAGCTGAAGACAAATTTTCCACCTTTGTAAAAGCCCTGCGAGAGAAACACACACACACACATTACACACTTATTACACACTGTACTTCCTGTATTAACACATCTGCGTCACTACTTTGTTTTCATATCTGTAGTTTAACACTGAAAAATATCTGATTAAATCTGATTATTGTTTAAAATGAACCCCAGAAACAGTTGACCAAGTTCTTCTAACTAGCTCTGACTCGACCTATAGGTATCACTAACACATCAATACACCAATAATATGAATTAATCAGATGACAGCAGCCGCTCTGCATTGTGAATACGTTTGATAAGCGATGCACTGATGCGTCCGTTGAGCATTTGTTATCCTCTAAGTCGACAGACATTGACCATCTGCAGATGTTGTGCCGTGCATCGATGTCAGTAGCCGGTTTTTGTATTTGTTGTGATGCATCAATTGAATGCTGCCAAGCTAAAACACCTAACTGCTGATTGAGAAAAGAGGTCACCAGTTTGGACAAACTCTAAGTCTGTTTTCATGGTCGAATGTGAAAGAAAATGTCAGCAGCGTGGGAGTCTCTGGGAGAGATCAGCGACGTGCAATTTCACCATACATGTTCCAGCAACATGTCAGGAGGAGGAACACAACAATTTAAATACATCCAATCTCAGAGTCCATTTGTGATCAGACATGAAGAATTACAAAGAAGTCAGCCATTGGCTAAACTGTAATTTCAAACATTGATATCTATAATATAAACATTTCGTTTATGTTAGTTGCAGGACTTGTTTCATGTTTCTTTACTGAGTTTTTACTGGTTCTCTACTTCACCAAACTTCTTTATTACATTCTTCTGAGTTTCTGTATAAAACTCAAGTCTTTTCCAATCTAACCTC